TTATGAAAGAACCTGGTATGCTCACCAAGGCTGCATTTATTTGATGAAAAATACCGGAAAAAAACTGCAAAATTGTGAAATAGTTTTACAATTTAAAATAAATGGTTTCTATTTTAGTATATTGTAAAATTAAATTTATTGCTGTGATCAAAGCTGAATTTTCAGCATCATTACTCCAGTCTTCAGTGTCACATGATCCTTCAGAAATCATTCTAATATCCTGATTTGCTGCTCAAGAAACATTTCTTATTATTATCAATGTTGAAAACATTACGATGCCGAGGAAACAGATTTTTTTTTTTTTTTTCAGAATTTTAGAAATCTTTTGTAATTTTATAAAGCTATTTACTGTCACTTTTGAACAATTTAATGCATCCTTGCTGAATAAAAGCATTCATTTCTTACGCACACAAAAAAAAAAAACTACTGACTACAAACTATTGAACGGTAGTATAAATGATCTCAAAATCAAAACAAAAGTGATATTTTGTATAAAGAAAATAAACCATGCTTGTTTTTACCATTATGATTTTTTGTACATCTTTTTTTTTTTTGACAACAATTAAGTATATTTTCCCTCAAGTTCTCATTTAAAGTAATGTGTATCAGTGTTTCATTTTTGAAATTCTCATTATTATTCATTATAATTCCCATTAGATGTTCATTACTCTGATACAACAAAAAGGCAGTACAATAATATGAATTTTTTTTTTATATCATCTTATTTTATTTTTATGTTCATTTTAATCTACATAAGATACTATGAAGTGCAAATACCATTCATATATCATACACTGTATCATAATTTTGTCACATTACAGAAATTGCATGTAGTAACTAGTGCTGTCAAACGATTAATCGCGATTAATCGCATCCAAAATAAAAGTTTTTGTTTACATAATACATGTGTGTGTACTGTGTATATTTATTATGTATATATAAAGACACACACATACAGTATATATTTTGAAAATAGTTACATGTATTTACATGTATATATTTATATTCATAAAATGTATATTATATATTAATATTTTTAATATATACACATTTTTCTTAAATATATACATGCATGTGTGTGTGTATTTATATATACATAATAAATATACACAGCACACATATACATATATTATGTAAACAAAAACTTTTATTTTGGATGCGATTAATCGTTTGACAGCACTAGCAGTAATACTTTTCAAAATAAAATATGATATTTTATTACAGACGTTTATCTGATGCGGTTGAAGAGTTTATGCAGACATGTTTTCATAAAACATGCTGAAATGCTTTCTTTGCAGTCACGCCTGTGGGAAACGCAAAAGCAACTCCAGCACCTGCGCAGACAGACGGCTCACATGGAGACACTGGCGGTACCCATGATGCTCGGCGCCGCACACCGGCCGCTCTCTCGTACGCAGTCGTCTCCAGCCTCCACCTCACTGACGCTGCCGGACAAAGCCTTGCCTCTCAGCACGGCACCGGAGTCGCCCCAGAGCCAGCCGCGCTTCACCACGGGTACACCGTCTCCACCAATCACACGCCGGTCTGCAGCAGATGATACACTCACACTGACTCAAACCTCAATGTGTGTGTGTGTGTGTGTGTGTGTGCAGGTCTGGTGTATGACTCCCAAATGCTGAAGCACCAGTGTGCATGTGGAGACAACAGCAGCCACCCAGAGCATGCTGGGAGAATCCAGAGCATCTGGTCGCGCTTGCAGGAGAGGGGCCTCAGGGGCCAGTGTGAGGTATTTACAGCCTGCACTTCCCCTCTTTCCTAAAGGGGGTGCTGAATAATCTGTCCTACCATTATTCTCCTGAACATATCCACATTAAAGGCACAGTTCAGTCCAAAATCAACATTCTGTCATCATTTATTCACCCTAATGTTGTAACAAACTTGCATGACTTTCTGCAGTGGAATGCAAAAGAATTTTGGGCCTTTATTTATAAAATGTATGTTAATAAGTCTCTGTAAAGCTTCAAAGTGACAAAATACACCATTAAAATAGTTTATATCACGCATCCAATATATTCTGTATTATAGTCCACTATATTTATAGTCTTCTGAAGCTGCGTGATAGATTAATGTGAGGAACAGACCGAAATTTAAGGGGATAGTTCACCAAAAAAGTTCTAAAAATTCAAGTTTCATTTACACACGCTCAAGTTGTTCCAAACCTGTATGAGTTTTTTTTCTTCTGTTGAGCACAGAAAAAGAATGTTGGGTGACGGTAGCCATTGACTTACATAGTATTGGAAAAAAAATACTATGTAAGTCAATGTCTACTGTCAACTGTTTAGTTACCAACATTCTTCAGAATATCTTTTTTTTTTTTCTTTCTTTTTGTGTAAAAGAAGAAAGAAACTCATAAGGTTTGGAACAAGTGGAGGGTGAGTAGCCTAAATGAAGACAATTTTCATTTTTGGGTGAACTATTCCTTTAAGTGGCTATTTGAAAATTAGTTCACAAAACAGGTCTGAATGAGTCCTTCACAAACCAGGTTAATTCAGCGTCATGAGCATCCAGGCCTCAATTAGGACTCTAAGCGGCTCAGTGAAGTTTTAAAGGGATAGTTCACCCAAAAATTAAAATGACCCCATGATTTTCTCATCCTCAAGCCATCCTAGATTTATATGACTCTCCTCTTTCAGACGAATACAATCGGAGTTATATAAAAAATTGTCCCGGCTCTTCCAATCTTTATAATGGCTATGAATGGTGGTCGAGATTTTGAGGCCCAAAAAAGGGCATCCATCCACCATAAAAAATTGCTCCACATGGCTTTTTTGTGTTAATAAAGACCTTCTGAAGTGAATCGATGCACTTGTGTAAGAATAATATCCATATTTAAAACTTTATAAGCCATAATCTCTAGCTTCTGCTAACTGTTGTGCGCGCGTTCATGCGAGAGTGGCATTCCAGCGAATGACGTAAATTTTTCTTCCTTCCTTTTTTCGAAAATTCATTCCCATCTTTTTAATTTCTCAGTCCACATTCACTTTCATTATATTGAAAAAAGATATTCGAAAACCTCCCTGCTTTTAATAACTCCAATGCTGACAGCATGTTTGCACCATGAAAATCCTCTCTCATGATGTTTTTGCTTCCTCTGCAGAGTATTCGGGGAAGGAAGGCCACTCTAGAGGAGTTACAGTCTGTCCACACCGAGCGTCACGTTCTGCTGTACGGCACCAAATTGTTATTATTGATATGGAAAGTGGAATTACAGCAGTTTTAGCAAAGAATGTTACAGTATTTTCATTTTTGGGCAGGTGCAGTAAGACTTAACCTGTCTCATGAATTAGTATGTGCGTATGAGCATGACGCGGAAACATTTGACTACATTTTATTTTCATGGTCCATGTTCGACACTATTTACTATAACTACATAAGTAACTTTCCAACAACATGTCAACTACCTCTCATTAATTTGTAACTACATGTCAGCTAACTCTCATTAGAGTATTATTAGACTGTTAGGGTTTATAGAATACGTTGACAAGTACTCGCAGAGTTACTTACAGTCAGTAGAATTTCTGTTGGTGGATCATCAAATAAAGTGTTAGCAGATATTATGCAGACAGTCTACTCATACTCTAATGACTTCTGCTAGTTGACATGTAGTTGCAAAGTTACTTATAGTTAGTAGAATGTCTAAAGTGGACTATCAAAATGAAGTATTACCACATATGTTGTTTTTCGCCAAGTTTGCATCTTGTGTGCTCTGTGAAGGTTTAATTCAAGACCCACATGTCATTTTAAGTTATAAGTAATAATAGACCTTGTGGTAACACATTAGTTTAGGGACCAATTCTCACTGTTAACTAGTTGCTTATTAGCATGCATATTACTAACGTATTAGCTGTTTATTAGTACTTATAAAGCACATATTAATGCCTTATTCTGCATGACCATATTGTACATCCCTTAATCCTACCCCATACCTAAACTTAACAATGACCTTACTAACTATTAATAAGCAATTAGGAGTTTATTGAGGCAAATAAGGTCATATCAACCGCCTCAAACTGGACAATCGCAAGCTGGCCGGTAACACATCACCACACACACACACGATTCACATCTGATAGATGTGAGTCGACTGCAGCTTGGCCAGCACTACACCTCATTTTTCAAAGCAAAGGCATGCCAACACACGAATATAAGCGACTTTCAAAATGACTAAAGGGTTGGAAATGTCGAGCTGCGAATGCGAGAATGACAGTTAATCTGCTTGACGTCACTCTGTGTCCAACAGGCATACTGTCACAGCGGATGTTCGTCATGCTGCCCTGTGGGGGAGTCGGGGTAAGTGAAAACACACACACACACACACACGCGCACTCCATAACTTGGTAATAACCCTGCAAGAAACATGTTAGATTGGAAATGAAGTAGACATGCATGATATGTTGGTGGCCAGTTTATTACTTGTTGATAATTGGGAAAATTTTAATTTGTGCTGTCAAACGATTAATCGCGATTAATCGCATCCGAAATAAACGTTTTTGTTTACATAATATATGTGTGTATACTGTGTATATTTATATTACCACATATGTTGTTTTTCGCCAAGTTTGCATCTTGTGTGCTCTGTGAAGGTTTAATTCAAGACCCACATGTCATTTTAAGTTATAAGTAATAATAGACCTTGTGGTAACACATTAGTTTAGGGACCAATTCTCACTGTTAACTAGTTGCTTATTAGCATGCATATTACTAACGTATTAGCTGTTTATTAGTACTTATAAAGCACATATTAATGCCTTATTCTGCATGACCATATTGTACATCCCTTAATCCTACCCCATACCTAAACTTAACAATGACCTTACTAACTATTAATAAGCAATTAGGAGTTTATTGAGGCAAATAAGGTCATAGTTAATAGTTAGTTAGCAGTGAAAATTGGTCCCCAACTGAAGTGCACACAGACCATTTCACTTATTCTATTTATGTATGTTTATGTTTAATATTCTCAATCTATTGGAAGTCTAGAGCAACCAAAACTTTAACACTTTAAAATAACAAAAAAAATGCAAAAGCAATCCTCATTAATTAGGCAGTTTAAACATAGACTTTTCACATCCATTGCTCAACACACATGCATAAAGCTCGACAAATATGGTAAACAGAAGCTCATCCGTACATGTCTGATTCAAAAGAATAAACCTCATTGGTTCTCACACATCGAAGAATCACGATTGAGCTTCTGTTTGCCATATTTGATGTGCTCGATGTATATACTGTATATTGACGAGTGTTTATATGAATAAAAGCCTAAATTAAATCTGTTCATTTAAATAAAGTGGTTGTGTTTCATCAAAATACTTGGCTTAAACCGCTCTATTCATATTGATTACTTTTGCAATGTCTTTATGAACTTTTTGAAGCATCAAAGTTGTGGTTTCATGGACTTTCAGTGGGGGAACAACTGGGCAAAACAACCACTAAATGGTGACCCAGGATCAATCTTGATGCGCATGTATGTGTGGCTGAAGTACATGACGCCATAGAGTGCCCCATTTGTAATTTTTGGTTTAAGAACAGTGATCATGACATTTGTGGCCACTAAGTTCCCTCAAAGCAAGCCCACATTGACACCTGCTCTAGAAGAAAACACTGGCTGACAGTCTATATGGCAAAAGTGTGCTCACCGGTCCCATCTGTGACAGATCTGAGGTCAGAGAACACTGATCCCAGCGCAGTCTATCCGGGCAGAACCCCGGCTGAAAATTTGGAGAAAATGTTGAAAACTTCACTCTGACGATCAAGCTCAGAGCAGGTCCTTGTGGAATGATTGGAACAATATGTGCCATGAAGGATAAAAGAAATTCCAGCCCTCTCATTGTTCACGGTGCCAAACCACAAGCAATGCAAGTTCGGCAAAAAAAAAAAAACAAAAGGATGAGGGAAAATGAAAGAGAAAAGAGAGAAGGAAGATGTGGGGAGCAGGGCAACAAACAAAAGGGAGAGAGGGGAATGTATAACCTCATTCTTTCTTCTCATGGCCACCCCGTACTCTCCTGCCGCTTATGAATGCAGTTTTATAGAGTAATAATGATCTCTTTTCTCTTACTAGTGCTGTTTACTAAAGTAAGCATTACTATTGCTACCACTCAGAGTCGGGGGTTTGTTCAAATCACGTATTAAGTTCATCCTGCACCGTTGAATTATACCTTAATTCGATTTACGATTTTCACTTCGCAGCTGATAAAACGCATGATAAAATCCTATAGACTTGCACTGAAGAAATATTTGTGTGAAAACGTGGCTGTTTTATCACAGTTTTGGAGCACTCGGATTCCCATTTAAAGGCATAATTCACCCAAAAATGAAATTTTGTTATAATTTTCTCACCCTCAAGTTGTTCCAAACCTGTATGAGTTTCTTTCTTCTATTGAACACAAAAGAAGATATTTTGAAGAATGTTGGTAACCAAATAGTTAATGGTAGCCAATGTGAAATTGCAGAACATATGATTCCCAGTGTGCGCAGATTACTGAGTGCTCTGTTCGAGCGTTTACTTTTATTTATGCTTTTCATCAACTTTGTGAAAAATACTGTACTGTAATAGAGTTACAGATGTCTAAAAGTACAAAAGTACAAAGCTGTTTATGTTATTGATTTTTAAGTTTTTAATGAAAACATCTCAATATTTTAGCAAATATTATGTAAAAATAAATACAGAGTTCTGGCATGAAACTCTAGATGGCGCAGTCCGATAGCTCTAACTCAATCTGACCTAATGACATCATTATCACATGGCACAGCTGATTGGTTCTCTCCTGTATCGGTAGCCAATGAGCTCGCTGCTCAAAATTCAAATATATGACTAGTGCTTGCCGTAGCAGCTGCAGCTTGCTTCAGAAACCCTCCACCTTCCCCAGCTCCACCTGTATAGATCTGCTACGAGGTGATTCATGTATGCTATATGGGGGTTATTTCATGTATGTTATATTTGGAGCAGCAATATTTCTTACATGCTCACAGCAGCATGTTGTGGATTCTGAAAGATGAGATTGCACAAGTGTGTGCAAAAAGATCTGTTTTGTGCCAGTGTGTGATAAAAACTTCGAAATGTAGCTATGCAACTACCCACAACAACTAAGAAACCATCTAAAATTGCCCTAGCAACCAATCAGAACACCCTAGCAACTGCATGTAAACACCCTTGCGTCTAGTACATTTCAAAAGTTTGGGGTCATTCTGATTTTTAAAAAATAATTAATACTTGTATTCATCAAGGCATTAAATTAAACAGAAGTAAAAAAATAAACAAAGACATTATAATGTCACAAAAGATTTCTGTCAAATTAATGCTGTTCCTTTCAACTTTATATTTATCAAAGAATCCTAAAAAAGAATCCTATTATGGTTTCCACACGAATATTAATCAGCACAGCTGTTGATAATAATCAACGAAACATCAAATGTTTCTTGAGCAGCAAATCAGCATATTAGAATGATTTCTGAAGGATCATGTGACACTAAAGACTGGAGTAATGATGCTGAAAATTCAGCTTTATACATCGCAGCAATAAATTAGATTTTTAAATATACTAAATTGGAAAACAGGTATTTTAAATTGAAATAATATTTCACAATATTACTGTTTTTACTGTATTTTTGATCAAATAAATGCAGCCTTTAAAAATATTTAAAAAAACATATAAACTAGCGAAAACTATAACATTTTAGGCATGATAATATGAATAACCTACAAGCCTGTGTATCGAAGAGAGGCCATGTTTATGGCAATATGGAGACCACACACAAAGAATATTTAAACATACCATTAGTATGACACATAACAGGAAATCCATTTATAGTTTCGGTCACTCCAGCCTCTTTCTTTTATTGTATTCTTGAAATGTAGTTTATGTTCTGTAATTTGTAACACACACTTCGCCTTGTGGATGCTTGCACTAAAAATAAGCATCTAAATACTTTAGCACACATGAGTGATCTTTATACAAATATGGTTGGATAAACATGTTTCATCATAATTCTCCAGCGTTACCATCTGTTTGAAAGCATACAGCTGGTTATTCATTCATCTGAATAGGATTAAATGCACATAAATCACTGGAGCAAAGCAGAGTGGTTACATCTAAGTGGATTAAATTACTGAAAATCTGCAAAGGGGTAATTACATGTAACAAATAATGTAAAAATGTATCATATTTTGGAAAACTTTGGATCAAACTTTGAAATGGCCTTAATCTTTCAAACAACTCAGAGATGTTGAATCACCTCAATTTCTGCGAGGGAAGAACAAATTTATACTCGAGTGCATTGTGTATTAGGTATGTTATCGTCTTTGACAGACAGCATGTTATCAGGCCGCTCTTTTATTTTTCTTCTTTGAAAGCAATGGTGTAGTCAAAACATCCGCTAGTGTGGGTTTTCCAGGAAATGCACGTAGTCTCGTAAATACTACCGTATATTGTGCATGTTATTTTTTGACAGACATTGATATTGTTATGATTCAAATGATGTGGATATGGACCGTAAGTTAATAATTATTTATTTTTTAGCCTGTGGCAAGTATTCAGTGAAGTGATCGATGCCAATGTGAGTGTTATGTCGATGTTTTTAGTTCTAATATGTGACCCTGGAGCACAAAAGCAGTCTTAAGTCGCTGGGGTATATTTGTAGCAATAGCCAAAAATACATTGTATGGGTCAAAATTATAGATTTTTCTTTTATGCCAAAAATCATTAGGATATTAAGTAAAGATCATGTTCCATGAAGATATTTTGTAAATTTCCTACCGTAAATATATAAAAACTTAATTTTTGATTAGTAATATACATTGCTAAGAACTTTTTTCAAATAGTTGTATCTCGGCCAAATATTGTTCTATTCCTAACAAACCACACATCAATGGAAAGATTCAGCTTTCAGATGATGCATAAATCTCAATTTCGAAAAATTGACCCTTATGACTGGTTTTGTGGTCCAGGGTCACATATACGTGAGGGGTGAACTATATGAGTGTTATAAAACATGCTGGAGATGTTCGAAATGCCTTTTGCGTAGTTCATTATACACATTTTACGGAATTAAGTTTATATTGTGGCTTAAATAAATCACACGTTACTCAGAAGTTGACATGTTTGTTAGTCAAAAATGTTGCATTTAGCTGTTGCAAATTTGTTGACTTTTGAAAAATCAAGTTCATTTCTTTTTACCAGAAAAGGAGTGGTTTTGATGCACAAATTTGTTTTTATTGTCTCTTATAACAAAATATATTTTATTTAAACCCATGAAAATGCAGATCCTGGTTTAAATAACCGGAGGGGGGAAAAATGACTACACTTTAGCAGTTTGGACTCATATAAATAAATCAACAGATTTTTAGGCTTCACCTATGCTATTTGCTGAGCATGCTTGTATTTCGACAGGTGGACAATGACACCATCTGGAACGAGATGCACACGTCCACAGCGTCCCGCCTGGCAGCCGGGAGCGTGACAGAGCTGGCCTTCAGAGTGGCTAAAGGAGAGCTTAAGGTCTGTGCAAAACAATATCCACAACACTGTTGGTCAAATGCTGCTTCTTAGATCAAATGAGTACAGAATAACTGACAATGAAACATTGTGCTACTAACAATTAATGCATTAATTTTCATTAATTCAGTGGTCCACGTGTACATACACTCATGTATCTTAGCAGCAGCTTGTCTGTGGCACTGCCAGCAAAGGACCATTCTTTGCACCTTGTTTACCCCTAAACAGTTCATAGTACGGGTATATCTTAAGGGTATATATTACTTCTCTAAGGTACTAATATGCACCTTTTATGGGTAGATATGGTACAAAGCTGTCCATTTAAAGGTACTGCCCAGTACTTTTCAGGTGTGCAGCAACTTTCTTACACAACTGGTTAAGGATCTTACTAAGAAACAGCCCAATCTGATGTTACTAGAACTGAAACAAACCCTGAACTCTGTCATAGCTGTGCACAGAGTTGATGAAGCTACTTTGAAACTGTAGCTTAAGAAACTACAAAATACGCATCATATAGAATATACCTTTTTTATCAAAAAATAGTCAGCTGCAAAGTTACCATCAACATTACAACAAGAAAAAGAAAGCATTAAAATGTCAGTAGCCTAAACATTTCAGTGTAAGGGTCAAAATGAATCACTGAATCATTTATGTGACCAGTGAAACCATGCAAACAAACTGATTCACTAAAATGATTCAAACTTCAGTAAGTATGAGGACAGAGTGGCTTTATTTCCTCAGCTTGCTCTGCTGTAAAGCTGAATGAGAAATGCAGTGTGATTTAGCGTTTTGTCACGCTATACTTCAACTTGTTGGAAAAAGTAGCTTGTTGCTATTTTGATTCAATACTTTCAATAAAACCGGTCTGTCATGCTACTGAAAAATGCACTTAGTGGCATCATCAGCTGCGCACCAACACTGGCTGTGCAGTTATAGAAAATTCAATATTATGCGTGTTCACGTTGCATTGAAATTACCATAATTACAAGATGACAACTCTGAGATAATTACTTCCTTAGGCACAGAACTTAAGCTCCAGAGTGAAATGCTTTGCATTAATTTACCTCTCACAATGCACTGAAAAAAGAAACCACACCAACTACCACTGGCTATAGTAAAACAGCATATCAAACAGAAGTATGTGTAGCATTTTGGTGAAATATTACATGAAATGAGTCTTCTAGAACTATTTATAATAATTCTGACATGAAACAAATGCATCTTCAGTCAAAACTCTTGGACCATGTGTCAGCCAATCAGAATCAAGTACTCGTTTCCTTCAGAGGGTCTCTGTAATTACCGTTGCGTCAAATAAAATTTAACCAAGTAGCAAACCAACCAGATCAAGCTGATTAAGACGTGGAAAACTGTAACGACCATAAAAGAATAGTTCAATCACTAGAGTCCCCTGCTGGTAATTAAACTTAATGAAGGTTATAGGGGATGTTTCAGGGAAAGGCTTTATTGCTTTAACTGAAAGCGGAGGCCCGCTTGTTGAAGCAGTTTGGTGAAAACATGGTTTCTGTGTAAGAGGCGACTGGGAAATGCGGAGTTAATGACATGTTGGTTTCAATGTTTCAGAACGGCTTTGCTGTGGTTAGGCCACCAGGACATCACGCAGACCCGTCAAACCCCATGTAAGTCTGCCTATTACATTCAGAAATGCCTCTGTACATTATTTTTTCGAGTTTAAGGACGTGCGTCTAGTGGTGGTTGCAGGTTCGAGCCTGGCCTGCGTCACATTTCGATCATCTTTTCCTTCGATCTCTCTTGCTGCGTGACTTTCTGTCTGCTTTCCACTACTGTAAAGTTCTTCAGATAAAAGAAATGCATAAAATAAATACAAATTAAAATAAAATATGTAAAAAAAAATTTTTTTTAATTAAATACATTAATAATACATACATACATATAAATATAGGCCATAGGTGGTTGGTAATATAGAGTTATTTTTATGATCATTGAGACTAATATTAGTTTCAAAGCTAATCTTAATTTTATATTTTCTGCTTTCCTCTTAGTTTTAGTTAAAGTTTTGTTGTAGTTTTGCCCTTTTTTATTTTAAAAATGTCTGTATAGTTTTTATTCATTTTTATTTCAGTTTTAGTTGTAGTTATTTTAGTACATGTAGTGAAAATGAGAAATGTTGCCTTGGAAAGTTTTTTTTTTTGTTTTTTTTTAATTGGTAACACTTTAGTATAGAGACCAATTCTCACTATTAACTAGTTGCTTATTAGCATGCCTATTATTAACATATTGGCTGTTTATTAATTAATACTTATAAAGCACATATTTTGCATGACCATATTCTACATTCTTAATCCTACCCAAACTTAACAACTACCTTACTAATTATTAATAAGCATCAAATTAGGATTTTATTAAAGCAAAAGTCGTAGTTAATGGTTTGTTAATAGCGAGAATTGGACCTTAAAATAAAGTGTGACCATTTTATTTTATTTCACGTTTATTTTTTATAAAGAAAAATTTAATGGTTTTAGTTAACTAGAATAATCCTGTATAGAGTATGTTGTGCATGTGAGTTTGGCTCTGTTTAGTGTGGTCAAGAAGTGAAATTCTTCTTCCTGTACATGATGGCATGTTTTGAGCGGTGTGCTTGTGTGACGTGGGTGTTGTGTTTGCACATGTGGCGTGTGTGTGTGTGTGTGTGCAGCGTCAGCACGCCTGTTTGTGTGTGTGTGGATATTTATGGCTTGATAATGAAGGTTTGGAGGGAGCGGGAGGAAAGACACTGATTTATTTCAGCAGTTATCAGCCTGCTGAGTTCGCTCTTTCCAAATTTCTCAGCGTTTCACCTCGCTCCCTTACTTCCCAGTGCATATCTAATCACCCGCTGGAAGTTTCCACATGTTTATTATTTGTGTATATGGACAGTATTTAAATGCTTTTAGATTACTTCAAGAAGTTATAGTCAAAAATACTAACAGCAGACCTGCACATCCGCTGAGTTCAGTTGCGTGAGAAAATGTGTTTGCTTACTACATAGTTTTGTTGTTCCATTTCCAAATCCTCTGGCATTTAATGTGGTTGGATGCCTCACTTTATCTCTTTCTCTCTCTCTCTCTCTCTCTCAGGGGTTTTTGTTTCTTCAACTCGGTGGCGATTGCTGCTAAGCAGCTCCAGCAGAAGCTCAGCGCCAGTAAAATCCTCATCGTTGATTGGGTGAGAGCTCTAAACTCAGCTAATTTTAGTTCTAGGGATGTGAATTCTTGTAGAAACCAATAAGCACTTAATTTGTTTCATGTCATGGCCAAGAACTGATATGATGGCTGATACCTGAAAACCATACTATTATGTCTGTTCAATTTACACTATCCCTGTTATGCAAATGAAAACAATAATGCTGCTATCAAGAGTTTATTAGTTAATGCAGCACAACAGTGTTGCTGACAATAGAGAACAATTTATTTCAATTAAATATCCAATAGTGGTAGATTACATACAGTATATTGGCAAAAAAACAACAACTAATATTCTCTTATAACCAATATATCACCAATACACCTGTGTATAGTATAGTGTATAGTTGGCTATCAATGCTAAATGATTACTAAAAAGCGCTACAGTTATTCTGGCATGTTTAAGTGAAGCCTATTTCAACATATTGTTCTAATGAATCAATTGAACTGATGTGAATCTGAGTTACTAAACTGTATCGGTTACCAAGCTGAATTGATTGAGTTTATCAGTCACTGAATCAAATCACTTCCAGATTTTGGTCTTTTTTCGTCCTAATAGACCAGATACGAAGGTAATGCTAATGTTAACTGAACAACATCCAAAATGCTACCATTAAAAGCTAACAAGTGTTAAAGTAACCTGATTATCATCAATTTCATCAATCACACAGGATGTTCATCATGGCAACGGCACACAGGAAATCTTCTACAACGACCCCAGCGTCCTCTACATCTCTCTCCATCGCTATGATAATGGAAACTTCTTCCCCGGGAGTGGTGGAGCAGCAGAGGTTAGTACGCAGAGATTATTGATTATAACATACGAGCAAATACAACACTCCTTGGTTTGTTTATTGCTGTGAAACTCTATAAGCTCACAAAAAACTCTTCGACTCAAGGGTTTCAATGTGTCACTCTTGCGCAACTGTGTTCCAAACCAGAACTGGTTGCATCATGGCCTTTAGCACAAAAGGATCACAGTAAGAGGAGGGTTTTCAGTGTTTAACAGCAGTGCTGTGTTTGATTTGTCCCAGGTGGGTTCTGGTGCCGGTGAGGGCTTCAACGTTAATGTGGCATGGACCGGTGGTCTGGAACCTCCCATGGGCGATGCTGAGTACCTGGCTGCCTTCAGGTATTAGTTTCACTTGGTTCATTTGCTGATTTAAACTAACTGAGGGGAACAATTCAACAGGGACAGTACTGAGTGGAAACCAGGGGTGTCCAATCCTGCTCCTGGAGGGGCAACGTCCTGCAGAGTTTAGCTCCAACACACTTGTCTGGAAGTTTCTAGTCATCCCCGAAGACCTTGATTAGCTGGTTCAGGTGTGTTTAGAGTTGGAGCTAAACTCTACAGGACAGTGGCTCTCCAGGAGCAGGACTGGACATCCCTGATATAAACTGTACCATATCTGAATATGTGACCCTGGACCACAAAACCAGTCATAAGGGTCCATTTCTAGAAATTGAGATTTATACATCATCTGAAAGCTGAATAAATAAGCTTTCCATTGATGTATGGTTTGTTAGGATAGGACAATATTTGGCCGAGATACAACTATTTGAAAATCTGGAATCTGAGGGTGCAAAAAAATCAAAATACTGAGAAAATTGCCTTTAAAGTTGTCCAAATGAAGTTCTTAGCAATGCATATTACTAATCAAAAATTAAGGTTTGATATATTTACGGTAGAAAATTTACAAAATATCTTCTTGGAACATGATCTTTACTTAATATACTAATGATTTTTGGCATAAAAGAAAAATCGATAATTTTGACCCATACAATATATTTTTGGCTATTGCTAAAAATATACCCCAGCGACTTAAGACTGGTTTTGTGGTTCAGGGTCACATATATGGATCCATTTTCACTTAAATATATGCTTTTGGTTTCATAACAAGTGAAGAAATTGGAAGATACCGTGATTGTTTAATGAAATGAATTTGCTGACTGAAGGGTTTGGATAAGGTCTAGTAATAATATACAAATCTGTGATGCACCTAAATTCCGGCAACCAAAAATATTCAGCCAAGCAGCAAAAAATTAATTTTTGGTTTTTGGAGAGTCGAAACCATTGAACAAAATTGTGCCATTTAATGAGCATGTTTCGATTGTGTCAGTGTCTGTTTTCTGCACAAAACATGGATACGCTATAAATAAGGAAACATGTGAGCAGTGTGGACACACTTCACAATGACCAAAATCGATGCTAGAAATATGCAAAAAAAAAAAATCAGCTGAAATATCGCTTATTGCCGAAGAGCTATTTCAACAGGAGCCAGTTACATAAACATAGCCACCGTGTTAAGACTATGCCTTAAGAACTAGTCGAGCAAACTAGCAGTTAGTCAAATTAGATCAATCTACTTTTATATAACTGATTTATATAAAATGTATATATATAAAGACCTTTAAAGACCTTTTTAAGACCTAAACTTCACATTTCAGTCTTTAAATTTTTTTTTTAAAGGAATGAGTCAAAAGTACCAATTATTATATTAATTTAAACAATTATTATCAATCAGTTATATTAAATTACATATATCTTAGTGTCTTAATTGTTGAGATTTTTATAATGCATTAGCTTCTTGTCGATCCACTGGTTCACATTTTAAAAATATGTAGCAAAAATAGCAGATGGGCTTATTGAAAAAGCAAATCCGTTCTCTGCCAGCAGGTTTCACTTTCGGAACGGCAGAAATATAGCAGTTTCCAACGACAGCTACACAAAGCAGCGCAGCGCCTGACTTTGAAACGTGCAGCTCTCAAGTTTATTCAGTGAAATCACAGCCTTTTGAAGTTTAATCGACGTCATATCATATCATTAATCTACATAGCAATTTGTGTCTTTCCTTCCCCAAATTTAAGACCATTTATAATTAAGTCTTTTTGTACCATTTAAGAGTTTTCATGGCCTTAAATTTAAACAATTAAACTGAGGACCCGCGGAAACCCTAAGAACCCACAGTTCAGTGCAAACATTTCTGTCATGCATTTGGCAAAAAGATTTTGTTTACTATGCATTTTACCTTTGAAATTTGAGGCAGTTTGCCCAACCCTGGTCTAGACACTAATATAATTTTAGTTATCTTTGTAGTTATTATTCTTGGGATGAACAGGCCTATAAAAGGGATAGTTCA